TATACTAAGCAATTACAGACCACTATGCCTATACAAAGGCAGCTGGTAGATTGGTCTGAATTCCCAAGGAGCCACAAATACGATTCGGTTCACGGAAACCCTATGTCGTACACCCAGTTATATTTAATAAAATTTTATCTACACCCAATTCTACCTAGTCTATATACACACAACCACAAACACATTCCCCCCCACCTAACCCACATCCATGCAAACTGCAGCGTCTACCTACCTGCGACCACCAACTACTTAAATACTCAGGTGTTAAATTGGCCTGAATGGCCAGATAGCAGCACAGGATGTTGCGCGTCTCTTCTGATCCAAAGCCTTTGTCAGGCACTGGCGGTTTGGCCTTGGCCTTGGCCTGAGAGGCTCGTGCAGTCGCTTTGGGTTTGTCTGCGATGTAGAAGTGTAAAAAGATACTCAGTGTATGGTATGGACGAATTCTTAAATATGAAAAGTAGATACTTGTAGTGTGATGAGTTTCTCAACGGGTGTTCCCTACGTGGGTCGATAGAGGGGTGTGGTGTACTGTAGTGTAGTTGTGTGATCTACTAGAAGTAGAAGTTGTACAGCATAGAAGTCTTAGAAGTCTAGGTTTAGAGTTTTAGGGTTTTAGGGTTTGGTACGGGGGTGTTTGCACTGTGGAGATATATCGTTTCTGTGCCTTACACAGGGTTTAGGGTTTCAGGGTTAACGAAATGCCTGACAATGCGTCGTAGCTCATGCGAGGTTGAGGTTTAGACGTGATCTGAGTATACGGAAACATCAGTACAATGATTAAGAAACGGTCTGTTGTTTGGTAGTATCCGCTTAGTCCAAGAAACAACTGTCAATTTTCAGGGTTTTAGGGTTTTACTACCTACCTTTGGCTGTCGGTCGTCGGTGCAGCAGAGCCGAAGAATCCAACACGTGGAGTAGGAATGGGAAGTACAGGAGAGCGATACGATGGCGACTGTGTGTGACAAGAGAGTGAGGATTTAACGTCAAGGTTTTAGAGGGCTGAGTTAGGGTTCTAGAGTTTTGAGTTCAAATGTTAAGGAAGGGTTTGGCTAGAGTTTAAGATTTCAAGTTAGGGTTTTTCGGGGATTGGGTGATGAATTTAAGGTTTTGAGTTTGGGTTCTAGGGTTTTGAAAAGGGGGTTTAGGTTTAGAATGGCGCCGATTGGAAGTAAGCTCGAAAAAGAAATCCAGAGGGGCAGGGGAGAACACCGCGACAGCAGTTTGGGAACGTTCAAATCGATTCCGCGGACGAAAGGACTTTAAAACCCTACCGCTCTAAGTGTCTTTTAAACCATACAGCTCGAAGTGACTTTTAAACCCTACAGCTCTAAGTGACTTTTAAACCCTACAGCTCTTAGTGACTTCTAAACCCTACAGTTCTAAGTGAC